GGTATGAATCTGAACAATCTATGACCGCATATTGGATCAGCAGCTACATAATAAGGGTGAGCTGACTTGAATTGACAGTCCTGTAGTCAGAGCAGTACCATACATAAATCTGAAAGGAGAGTAGTCCTTTTTTAGTCCTGTACACACACATACTACAAAGTTGTGCAAGCTTGATGCTATAATTTGCCAGAGTTTTTGTTTGCAAATTGTGCTCTATGTATATCCTTCTTTTTTTTATTTTTTTTATTTACTGCTTACTTTGTTACTCCATTTTACAAAATACATTTCATGTAAAAATCTTAAATGTGGAGATTTGTGTAGGGTAGAGTAGCTACCAACAAGAAAATAGGTGAACAAGAGAAATAATGCGGCCTAAGTCCTTTACCAACCACTTTAATGTCTCCCAAAACAGTTGCTTTTAAGGCAGACCAACTCTCAAAGGTTGTAGTGTGCTTATTTTAGTTCTCAACCAAACTTTCAAGCCCCCAAATGGTTGGTGTCATAGCTGATCACATGGTCAGCACCATGGCAACTGCAAGCCAAATAGAGGCTAAGATGGCACCTTCGTTGTCTATAAAGGGTAGGAGGTTGTAGTTCTGCTTTAAAGCCCTGTTCACTTTGGCACGTTTAGGTGTGTTGCCACATCCTAAATACATCAAGCAGAACTTTATACAGTGAACCATCCAACACACTTGGTGTCTCTAAACCCCCAATTTTTTTTTGTTTTAGATAGAGCGGGCAAGTATTAAAACCGCTACCAGTTTTTTTTTTTTATTGCTGTCTGTTTCCCCCGATTTTCATTGTTTCTATTTATCCAGGTGAATCTCTGTAAATATACTTTCCCTTGCTGTAATCGTGGTTAACCGATTTCTTATTCAAACCACCAGTTCAAACGACCAATCTTACATGTGACTGACTTGAGCTAATATATTATTTGAACCCATATACCCATGTTAGTAATAAGAGGCTGATGCCCTCCCACACAAATTTCTTGTAGCAGTAGGGCTTGGCAAGTTAAGGAAATGACACAAGGACTGCCCATCCATAATCTATACACTGAGTGGCCAGATTATTATACCCACCCCATCAGTACTTCGTTGGGCCACGAGATGACTCCACGAGATGACTTCGTTGGGCCGCCTTGTGACTCCACGAGATGTTGAAAGGTGATGCGAGGAATCTGACACTGCACTGTTGCCCTTCTGTTGTCTTGTACCAGTCTTGCCACTCTCCGTTCTGCCCTAACATTGACTAGTCACTGACTGCCACAATTCACACGTTCAGAACCAGATTTTCGGCTGACAGTCCAGTCTTTAAACACTTTAACAACAGCTGCTCTTTAACATTTAACTAATTCTGCTGTTTTGCTGATACTCGCTCCATGGCTCCGAGCGCCAACAATCATCCCACGTTCAAAGGCTGTTAAATCGCATTGTTTACCCATATCTTCAGAAAAAAATCACTTCTACTGTCGTGGTAAACAACCTGCTTCCCTATTTATAATGGTCTGGCCCTCTAGCAACTTCAGCACGAAATTATAGCTAATTATAGCTAATTTGCCTACAAACGTCAGGTGGTCATAATAATCTGGCCACTCAGTGTATATTTATATTGATTCGGGTCACTTATGGCTCTAGGCATAGAATTGTGGGGATCACTCAAGTGATAGTTAATATTGATTTAGCCATATTTTGTTATTACAACTATACGTGTGTATAATGTAACTTGGGAGATTATAGAGTCTATATCAGTCCTGTTTTTGTATTGCTAAACTAGTGATCCTAATATTCTATCTGTATGCTGTTGGAAATAAAAATTCTACTATGTTCTCCTTTTTTTTTTTTTTTTCTTCCCCTTGAAAAAAATGTGCTATGTAGATTTTTCAGATAACTTAGGTATGCATTATTCTGTCTTTCAGGTGCCAACTGAAGTAGAAAAATGCCAGGACAAAGTAGAATGCTTCAATGCAGACTTGAAGGCGGACATGGAAAGGTGGCAGAATAACAAGAGGCAAGATTTTCGCCAGCTGCTTGTGGGAATGGCTGATAAAAACATTCAATATTATGAAAAGGTAAAAGGAATAAATATTTTGTAATCCGTAAATGCCATATTCTTAATGTTGTGAGTTTAAAAAAAAAATATTTTGACTAGTCTCTCATTTATAAGTATATGTATTTAATAACCCGGACATGTTTGTTTTTTATACCATATGAGAGCTTTGATTACAAGGACACGGACTAGAATAAAGTCAAACAAAGCTGATACTCTGTAGTGTTTCCCATTCTGTGCACAAATATCTAACCTCTGATTACTACTGGTTTTAAATAGCTCTATCATATTAAAATGTGGGGAAATGTTATTAAGTCAAGATGGTTTCATGTTGCATATTCTGGAATGGATCCATTCACATTAGACCCTGTGCTAAGCTGGTTTTAGATTTTGCAGCAACTCTGTCACTTAGATAGAAAAAATAGAGATATTGGATACTTACCTGTGCTGGGGATCATCAATAAAGAGGCGGGAAGGGTAAACATACCCAGTCCCTTTTAATAAAGTTGATGAATTGGTGTTTGCACCTTATTGGCATTTTATAGCTAAATCATACTGTGGAGGATGTCTCCACTTGCTTGGTGGCAAAGCCTATTTTTCGCATTTGCAATTCACATCCTCTTGTCCTCTAATTTGCGCAAAACATAAAACATTGATGCTATGGAAGTGAAATAAAAAATGTTGCGTTTCAATATGATTCGCCATAATTTACAAGGATATGAAAGGTAACAAAAATGATCTATAGGCAAAAGTGTGTCCCTTACCCTTGCCCTCTGTTTTTTTTTACTTGTCCATTGAGGGACACAGCAGGAAGTTTTTCACCTTTTGGGTATACTGCCGCCTATATAAGGATTGGACATTGGGTCAGGATAACACATCATACTACCAGCATGCCTCAGTTTTTTGCTTTTGTCCTAGAAGCATGGACATCTTTTCTTTTTTGTCCCTTACACTTGTTTCTGTTTTTTAATTTTATTTTATTTTTTTTGTCCCTCTGCTAGTGCCTTACTGCATGGGAGTCCATTATACCGCTGTTGCAGGACAAACCAGAGCCTAAATGAAGAGCGTCTAGCATTATGTTGGAACCTGTTGCACAATTCCTCATGCAGTGTGACTAACAACCTGAAGGACCCTTCACTTATGTTGTTACAAAGCAAATATACCAAACTTTAACTTTTCTTAACCCTCATTTCCCTTTTCTAAGTTTATTATGTGTGTTGACTGCTCTTCTAGAAAATTCCTACATGAAAAGCTGCTTTCATTGAGCTGATCTGAGAAGTGGCCTGGGCACATTATGAAACTCACACCAACCACTCCAGCCTGGAGGAGCTTTTTACTTGCGTAACACTAAGCAGAAGAGGCTTTACTTATTACAACAAAAACCCACTGACGGCATTTAAAGTCTCACATCAGCAGCTGGCTACTTTTTTTTTTCACTGAGTGTATTTCCAGAAAAAGGTTATTTCTATGCCGTTTACGTCTTTTTCTATGTATCTTTCAGAGGACTGGCATCACTGAATTTTGTGTACAGTCCTTTTTTTCTTTGCCTACCTTACCAGGGGTTCCTGATGTTCGCATGAACTGTGTTGGTGGCATGAAGTTCCTGCTCGATGTGCTTTATTCTTTTCTCCAGAATTTAAACATGTTGCAACATGTGGATATCTCATCCCATAGAACCATATTAGAGAGGGAGAGTTCTGTTTACACTGGGGCCTTATCTGAAGCAGATTAAAGGGAACAACTGATCCAGAACTTATTTTTTTTTGTTAATGGTTTTGATTGTCCATGCAAAAAAGACAAATTTAAAGTAAATATGTTTATGACTTTTTTAATAAATAAAACACATCTAAAAATGTGCTGTGCTTGTTATTGAAAGTTCAAATACCAGTCACAGGTCTTAAAGTGACCAAATGGTCAACGCCATCCACTGTAAATCAAAGCAATTTCTCGCCAGCATGCCATCCATTTGTTAGAAGTGGAAATTTGTTGCATCACCATGATAAACATCACACACACAATCGTGTCAGGGCCTTGCAGGACCCTTTATCAATGTTGTGTGTCAACCAACAGAAGTGGATCATATCCACTCAGCAAATGTTAGGCCACAAAAACAAAATTATGACTATTTTATTATTATTAACATAACTTTTCATAAATTGCTTTTGCAAGGAAATGTTGATGGCATTTAGGGGTGGATATGTAATAGTTTCAGGAGTTCACTGGAGTACAAGATATTTAAAATGCAGATACAACACTGGGGCATCAGGTGATACCATTTGAAATGCAGGTGACATTGTAGGGAAGAATAAAAACATCTTGGCTCTCCTACTGACGCATCTGAAACCTTCAGTCAATACTGGAATAATCGTGATCCGTTTAAAGGATAGAAATGTTGGCTTTGATCATTTTCACAATGTAATAGCTTGATTGATGTCACCTTAAAAGCAGGGGACTCAAACTGGCCCACGTGACCCATTACTATGTGGGCTGCAGCCGGCTGACAAGTCAGGCACGCAGTCACTGACCGTGTAGCAGAGAAGCTACACGGTCAGCATCTCAGCCAGATGCTCAATGTGAGTTATAGCACAGCGTGTGACTGTGACTCTGACAGCCCTCACTGAGTGCTGGGAAGTTTTTTAGTTAAGGGCTGCACCAGCCAAAGGTGCGGACCGTACTAATCAACCACTGAACCACCACGGAATGTGCCCCCTCCGTGCCAAAAAAATTTAACAGGTGAGGGGACTCTTTCTTTTATTTGAAGAAAATGTTGGCTTTAGTTCTCTTTAGGGTCACAGGAGGACATTTACTAATGTCTGTTGTATACTGTTGCCCGCTATATGCTGGCATCACAGAGTGGTGCTGCGGCCGAGAAAGATCACGACAATATTATGTATTTCTGTGTGTGTTTAATCTGTTGGTCCTCTATGATTAAAATTTAAACTTGTGTGAATAAAAACACATATACTGACACTGTACACATGTATACATACAAAGAAACCATATACTGACATTATAAACTCACACAGACATTACCACTGGCACCGTATATAGGTACATTTTGTTTTGAAGTATGAGATTTTATAAAATTTGGCAAGCGGTCTCCACTGGAGAAGAAAATTTGTCCACTTGCCCCTAAGTGAATTGTGTTTGAGACCCCTGCCTTAAAGGTTTAAAACATACAAACTGTCTTTATTTTTTTGCTCACATTGTTCTAGGCACCTTTTCTCATTCAGCCTGGATAATTAATTTTGGTTAATCTATCTACAAGGTTTTTTTCTACACAATATGTTTCAGGCCAGAAATATCTCCAGCCAAATAGTTTTAGAATTCACATTTTTTCCCAGTGTATTCTCCTTTTTTGGTCATTTTCTTTTGGGATTATTTGGAACCTTTAAGTGGAAGTAAAGGCACATAACAAAAATCCCCCCAAGCTTTTAGCCATAATGTGCTAGTATGCATTGCATATTATCATTTTATGACTTAAACCGATCCCCTCTCTGGCACTCCCATCTTCTGCTCGGCCCTCTTCCAAGGTCCAATTCATCAGCCACTCGATTGTTCATTCCTCAGTGACGTAACTCCCATACATGTGATGGGAGTTACTTATTTTCGGCATGCCGCTTTTGTCAGCTGAGCTGTGCATGCCATAAAAGCCTGGCAATTAGCACATTTTTTCCAAAAGTTTTATTCCGCTTTAAAAATCTATTTTTCATTTGTTACTTTTATAAATTGAGGTTATTTGTTGGTAAATCTCTTACAGGGCAAGCAATACTTTATTTCTGTATGAATTTACTTGTGAGAGATATCTGTCGTGCAAACAGTATCACTTTAGAGTCATGCAGTGTATGTAGACTGTAGCCCCAATGTTTACTGCGTCTTTTTTTATTGAAATTTAATGTCCCAATGTACTATAAAATTTCTTCCCAACACTGTTGCAAAAAGTTCTCACAATGGGCCAGAAAAACGACCAAATATTTAGTACATGGAAACCTACTCAAATTGAATGTGCCAAACAATACATTTGAAGGGTTTGAAAAGAAAGATGCGACTAGTAAACCAATTTAAAAAGGAAAAAATCCCAAGTGCAACTTGCACACAAAACGTTTCACAATCCACAATCTGTGCCAAATAAATAATGGTTCAGAAAATGAGTCATTATTTGGCGCAGTAGAGGTATGCAGTAGTGTGCCAAAAGGATGATGACGCAAGACAGTTAAACACTCTACTATGGGCTGAATAAACTTGTCACCTGTGACAATTCGCATTAACCAAAACCCACCAATCTGTTTTTTCTGGCCCAATGTGTTATGCTTGTATGTTGCTTTGCCTTCATCCTGCTGCCCAGTTCATCCCAATGTAGCTTTATGGGATTTAAGTCTGGAAAGCGTGCTGACTATACCATGATTTGAAGCTTCTTATGTTCTTTTAAACATTTTGACATAACCTTGAGGTACGGTATGTTTTGGACCATTATCTTGCTTTAGGATAACCCTTTGGGCAACTAGGTATAGACCAGCGTGTTTTGCATGGAGCTGCATTTTCTGTTGTAGGCCTTGTGGTTTTACAGTGCCAATCACTTTGTGCAAGTCACTGATTCTGCATCCAGCAGAAGAGCCCCAGACTATCACACTTCTTTCTCCATGTTTGACAGTTGATGTCACACACTGAGGAACCATCCTTTCATCTAGCTGACCGTTTACAAAAACTCTGCATGATGACCCAAAGATTTTACATTTTAATGAATTGGTCAATAAGACATTTCAATCTTCAGTAGTCCACCGGTGGTGGTTCCTGTCAGCAAAACATCCTACTCCTTTGTTTACATACAGCTGCATGGTGGGGAATGCCCATAACGCAGCTGATTGGGTGGAAGTGCCCATGGCACTTGCTGGTTCAGAGTAGTTCAGGTTCGGATTGGGTCCAGTCCAAACGAGCTCATTCCTGCCTGCAGCACACAGATGTTTTAAATCTGAGATGTATTGCAATGCACCTAAGCTGCAGTGCATTGTGTAAGTGCATTGGGATACTATTGTAAATAAATGGCAACACACTCCAGTTGTTGGTGCGTTTATGGTAACATGCAACAAAATGTGTGTTTTACAGTGCTCTAACCTAACACATAGTTGTGCATGGGCCTAAATGTAGTATTAAGCATCTTAAGTGTTTTTCCCCATAGTTCTCTTTAGGGTCACAGGAGGACATATACTAACCTCCTCCCGTGACCCAAAGCTCAGTAGGCAAAACATACGCATTGCGATGTTTGGGGGTCACGTAGGATCCCCTTCATCAGGCAGAACAGTTCTGCCTGATGAAGGGGATCCGCCTTGACCCCGAAAACGTCGCAATGAGTATGTTTTGCACGCATTAAATAGACTTATTCTATTATTGGAGTGTTGGTGTCCATATTTTTCTATATTACTGGACGATGGCCGTCGACTACCGATGCACCCACCTTACTTTCAATGGATACAATGGATGTGCAGTCAGGAGGGCAATGGGTGCATGGCTATTGCTCGCCATATACTGAGAGCGCCGCAGCCAGGACGGATCCCGATGATACTGTCAAGATCCACCCAACTGCGTGAGTGACAGCTGGCTCTGCCTGTCTAGAGGCAGAGCCAGCTGTACCCGCCCCTCCACTACCCTGATTGTTCCTCCAGTCAGCGCTGGAGGATCAATGAGGGGAGTGGGGAGCGGTGACTGACAGTCACCTCTCACTTCAAGGAGACAATCGGGAAGTGAGCAGATCGTTGCATGTTTCTGCTCACTTCCCAATCGATAGAAGCTGTCACAGGTCGGCTCTAACTATGAAGATGAGTGGAAATCACTCACCTCATAGTTCTCCTTTAAGTATATGATGTCCTGTGGCTTCTAGTTATTCATTTGTGGTATTTGTAATGGGTGGTATCAACACCGATTGCAACATTGTGTAGGTTATATTGTATCTGGTTACAATGCTTGCTTAAACAAATGAATAAAGGCAAGAGCACAAAAAGTGCCTTGTATTGATTTTTTCCCCCTGAACATGGAGCACTTCACTGAGGAACATTCTTTACTCTCTTCAGAATCAGAGTCCATGAAGAGCTTTTTGTCTACACTTTACTTCAACCTTTTAGAATATTGCAAAAGCAGCTTACACCATAGGCTCAGAATGAGACTGCCCAAAGGGTGAAAGAGCGGGCTAGTGGCAATCCATTTCAATACTTAAACATTGAAATCTTTTGATTTTGATTATTATGAAGCAGACCATACTTTATTATTTTGCGGTTTTCGGATTTTCAGTAACCCCCCCCCCCGGCTGTTTTTTTGCTTGTTGTCCTATATAATGTAGAAAAGAACTCCTGAATGGCTCATGTTAGATAGACTATGTATGCACTACCAGGCAAAAAAAACCCAAAATCAAATAAAGTACAATCAGTCTGTGCAATAGATACTGTGATAAGTTGGGGATATTCGCACATTTGGTGAGCGCTTTAAGGACGCAGTTTACTTGCAATACCTTCTTTTTAAGAGCCTGGTAGCCCACTTTTAGTCTGGTTTCTACTTTCTCTAGGAACGTTTTTATTCCTTTGAGTTAAAACTGGACATCCCATAGGTATGCTGCTTAATGCATTTTTACACATTTTTCTTTTCTTTTAATTATTATTATTATTGTGCTGCATTTTTCAGGCTGCACATTTGGCTGCTTCCCAGGCAGTGTGGCTGGTCAGTGCTTTTTTGTCTTCGATACTTTTTAGCTGTTTTTTATTTTTATACTAAATAGTGATATTTTTATACTATAAAGTGACATTGAAGGATACCCCCCATACCAATGCTAGTGTAAGGACTTACCTTAAATGATGCATCTTGATCTGATCATCTTCTTTCCTGTAGTTTTCAGGATACCCTCCAGTGCTGGTGCCGGTCTTTGATCCAGTGCTGACTCCTCTCTCTTCCTGGCACTAACTGTCCCATGGAGTCTGTGCGGGTGCAAGCTGCCTCCGTTGACTTACTTTGTGTCTCTCCTCGTCTCCCGGCCGAAGATCTGTACTGTGCATGCGCCCGCCCCATTAACCTTTGCCGCCTCCCAAGATTTTTCAGATCTTCGGAAGAGAGCATGCGGCGGAGTTTTCGTAACTTAAAAAAAAATTTGTTTTGCATATATCTACTGCTTGCAAAAACCACTGAGGGTTTAAATATCCTTTAAATAAGTGTTACTTAGTACTGTGGGCAGTCCATAGACAAGTAGATCTCTCACCAAGACAGTTAATGAAAGATCCCCATTGTAGCTCTGCTGTGGCTTTTCTCTTGGGCTCTCAGACTCCAGTGATTTTTTACCACCCTTGGCTAAGGGTGGGAAAAGGATTGTTACCTTTTTAAGCTTACAATGTAGAATGCTGTCCTAACAAATGTTCAGAAGAATGCATCATCAGTGAATGTGGCTGCCTTGTAAGTGGTGGTGAAGATATCCCCTTTATGCCAATTAAACAAAACCTAACACAATCAAGCACAGGCCACAAAAGCAGAGATGGAAGTAGGTTCAGCAAATCGTTATATTGAGGCTTTGAGGGAAACTCCACAAACAAGGTCCTCTCTACTAGTATACGGATGTAGTTTCACACCAATACATGTGATTTATACTAAAATGTATACTTCTGATTTTCTGGTTACATTCTTTATTCATTCTTTGCTAGGGATGTCCAGATACCAGTGCCGATACTTGCCATTTTTATTTTAAATAATGCATTAAAATGGGGATGTACAAATCCCAGGAGCTCTGTATTCTCCTTAAAAATGACAGCTGCCTCCTAACTTTTGAATTTTTCTCTAGTCTAGTCCTGGCGCTGGAAAAGTATCTGTAGATGTACTTGTACTTGGTATCTGAACAACTCTATTCTTTGCTTATTTCTATGCTAATTTGGATGGTTAATGCACATAAGCATGGATTGTTGAGTAAATGAGGTCTGTTCACAGGGCATCAACAGT